ACAAAGATAACCACATGTTTGAGGATTGCAATGTGCCAGACATTCACTGAAAAAAAAAAATACACACAACTAAACAAAACTCACACGAACAAACATCTGAGAATCTGGACACTTCATATCAGTGTTTTGAAGTGTTTTCATTAATATCTTAAGACAAGTGTATCAAAACCTTGGCATGATTTAATTTCAAGTCGCCAATTTTGTTTTTACTAACATCAGAAAGTTATGGCTATACCGCCAATGCCGGGTCTGCTTAATTTGACTTAAGAGTTTAATATGACTTAACATTAAAAGCTCACACTACCCCGAAATATATAATTTCACGCATACGGTGACATTCAACATTCAAGTGCCAGTGTTTTTGTACTGTCTTTTGGTCAAGTTTCTTTAAACTTTCAAAGAATCACTTTTAGGCTTACAAAAATAAATATTTGTCAAAATGTTCAATAAATATTACATAAAACTAGCAGCAAAAAGTATCTAGAAATCTGTCGTGTGCAAATAGTTTTCTTCCCAACTATCATTCCCATGGTCCCAAATAAATTTTTGAATCTAGACCTCCCATTCCCTTCCTAGACAAGCTGCGTTCAACAATCTCCAAGAGACAAAATAAGATTGGAAGTTTAAGGACACGCACACAAGACATATATATAAAATTCTCTGAATGTGCAATAAAAGAAGTACTTTGTAAAAATTTATGGGCAAAATGTACAAGGGCCTAAACCTAGACTAATTGAAATAGCACCATAACAAATGACCTCAATACTGTCAAGTGCACCTACTTAATAAAAGTTTTAGAACAAGGCACAATACACTTGAAAATCTATTGCACTTTAGGAAATTTTTGCCGTCTTCCTATGCCACTGTAAAAAGATTGAGCGTTTTGATCACCTCATTCTGGCCACAAAATTAGCACAGAATTCAAAGTGGCAGAGGCATTTTAATGGTGGACAATGCTCATCTTTGGCCAGATTTAGCATAAACAGACTATAAATACAATGGAAACCTATGCAACTAAAACTGACTAAAACTGCACTGTATAGCAGAATTGACACCTTGTGCAGTTATGTACATATTTCCAACCTGTGTGATCTCAAAGATTTTAAGTTTGTTATTCTTCTGGAGCCATTTTTACAAAGTCTATATAGTAAGCCAGTTTAACATCTCAACGCAGCTTGAACAGAGTAATGTGAATCGGCATTTAAAATAAAGCCTGCTGCATTAATTCTTCCTGTTCATACCCTCTTGACCAAAAAACATCAACACTAGCATGCGTTATTAGACCAAAAATCATCCAGGGCCCTAATGAGGGCTGGTCATTGCTGTGGTCAGCCATTCTACCATTTCAATTTCATTTATGGCAGGCATTTAAAAAGTCTAAGTAGATGAAATCTCCTATAAACCTATTTCAAGTTATCAGACCTTTAAACTTTCCCTGTAATAGTATGCCCACATTTGGCTAGCTCATAATTAATGATCTGCCTAAACATTGAAAGAGGAATTGCTGTATTTACTTGCATTAACTTTGAAAACAGTGCTTTGAATGTATGCATGTATTCATACATCACCTCATCATGACTGGAATGGCTTGTTTAAAGACTATCAGGTTCTAAATACCTATCCAGGATAGAGTGAGCAAATCAGAACTTTAACTTAATACAGTTTGCCACATTAGAAACTAATTCCATTATTATGCTTCAAGACGTTTGTTGTTTTTTCCCCCAATCTGCAGGTATCAAAAAGCCCTAGTGCAGGCTACCACTTAAGTTTTTCCCTTATAATATTTATGGATGAATCGATGATTCCTGTTAAGTTGTATCACACCTGTGTGCCAAGGTTTGATTTTAGCCCAAGTTCAGTATATTTATTTCGTCAAAACAATTGATATCTTGAGCATTACTGAGCCAACAGGACATCAAAATAAAAAGTTGTCTAAAGTTAAAGGCACAGTACATTAACAAACAAATGATCCTCAGTCACAAAATTATAAATGCAGTTTGGGATGGGGGTTGGCAGGAGGGGAGTTAATCCAAACTACAGCAATGAAGTCTTCAAACCACCTTCCGAACAGGGCTGCTGATTGTTTCTTTCATCTATTCATGTGACCTTGAGCTCCCTTAAAAAAAAATTTCAGTGGAGAATCACAGCTGGTAATGTACTGCGAGTTCTTGAAGCTACACAAGGTATAGTCTGGCTAAGTTACATGTGGTTTCCATATTAGCTTGTTTGGCAGGGTAACCTACTGCAAAGCAGGTTCAGTTACCCCACCAGTCAACCCCCTGGGAGTTATAATTTCCTCCGTATCCATCGCTGTTGTAAAAGCCTCCATATCCACCTAGTGAAGAAATTCAAGAAAGAAATTAAGTCATCCACTGCTAAAATACAATCTTTATCTTCAATTATATACTTTGAAAAGGAAGTCTAGTAGGGGGAAGAGTCCTTCCCAAGGATGAGATTAAAAATCAACATTACCTCCACCAAACCCTCTGCTGCTACCATGGCCGCCTCCACCACTGCGACTGCTGCTTGCACGGCTGCTGCTGAAACTGGAACTGCTGGCACCACTACTTTGTCGATAGTCTCTGGCACCAAATCCCCCACTGAATCTACTGCTACAAAGACAAAATGTGTTGGTTCACATGCAGGGTCAAATTTCACTAAATAACCCAATTCCTGTTAAAACTTCCAATGACCCATTTCTCATCTTTTAATTCTAATTTCTTCTCTAGTTCTACTTTCCATTACAATGATTTTTAAAAGCCTTAGTCAGGAAGGGCTAACACGAACAATGCCTTTCCAGTAAGACCCCTTACCCAAAGGATCTAGGCAGCCTAATAAAATTAAGACTGTCAAATACTTGAAATCATAACCTCGGACGTGACACCCACTCCCCCCCTTCATTATATACCATCTGCACCTCACCTCTTAGATCGTCCACGACTGCTACCCTTGTAGTGATGTTCATAAGCCATGCTTTCTAACCAAGATGGCACCTCCTGTTTAGCTTCAACAAGAAGATCCAACAAATCCTTGGTAATATTGGAGTTCCTATCATTAAAGAATGAGGTGGCAAGACCTAAAACAGTTTCAAAAAGTACACATATTAAGGTCTTCCATAAAATAGCTTAGTATTCTTACTTTTCTATGCAGAATGCTACTGAATAAAACAGTAAGTTACAATTTAATAAAGTCTTTGAACAAAAGCTGACTTTTACATCATTTCTATTGCTGAGAAATATTCAATTGCATTTCTTATAGTTTTTGTATTTAAGATTCTGAAAAAGTCCTTGCTGTAAATGCATCACAATGAAAAACAGCACGATCATCAATTAACTACTTACCAAGGTTTCCTACACGTCCTGTGCGGCCTATGCGATGTACATATTCTTCGATATCACTTGGCAAGTCAAAATTGATAACGTGTTTCACATTTGAAATGTCCAATCCTCTTGCTGCCACCTGGGAAACAACTTTTGTTATACATGGTCCACTTAAACCAAAAAGTTGAACATGCTGAAATTGAAAATAAGATCATGCTATACATACTGCTGTAGCCACTAAAATTGGACTTTTTCCTGAGCGGAACTGGTGAAGGGCCTCTTCTCTATCTCTCTGAGATCGGTCTCCATGGATACTGGTGCAAGCATATCCTTCATGGTATAAGAAATCCTCCAGAGAATCTGCACCCTTTTTGGTCTCCACAAATACTAAGGTCAGTGAATCCTTGCCTGAATTTGAAAAAATTACAAGGTTCTTGTCAACAATAGCAGCTTTGTTCTCTTTGCACTTAGTAAACATGTAAATATAGAGGCAATTAAAAGAAACTGTTTTAAGGGCTCCCTGGTGGTGCAAGTGTTTAAGTCTCAGGGTTATCAAGCTATCGCCAGCCACAGGGGCAAGAGTTCGATCCCTGGCCCAGGAGCTAACCCACATGGCACAGCAGACCTCTCCTGTCTCGCTGCTGCTCCCCTCAGCAATGTGTTTCAGTAGATCTGCCTGTTCTGCTCCCCACTCTGTCTCTGGTGAATCCTCTCGCCCCCCATACCTCTGCCCTATAACCCAGTTCTTGTATGCATAAATAAATGTGAAAAAAAAAAAAAAAACTGTTTTAACAGAATGCTTTAACAGAATGTTCTGAATGGGGACAAAAAGCAATAAAGGTGATCCAAATGGATACTCATTACCTAAACCCCCAAAGCAATGTTGTAATTATTAATAATTTTACCTGTTGCACTTAGAAGGTCAAGCAGAAATGAACGCTTATCTACCTCTTCCACCCAAACTACTTTCTGTGTAATGTTCTCAGAGGTAGAGCCTACTCTTCCAACAGCCAAAAAGATATACTCATCCAAGAAATCACGAGCAAGCATCTGAAAGAAAAAACTTTATTATCCACTGAGATAAAACAATTCTTAAGTAAACGAAATTTGCAACATCAAACAATACCTGTATTTCCTTAGGGAAAGTAGCACTAAACATCATAGTGTGGCGAACTCCCTTTGGTGGCATAGTATCTTGTTCAACTATTCTACGTATCTGAGGTTCAAATCCCATATCCAACATCCGATCAGCTTCATCCAAGACCAAATATCTGCCGTGAAAATTAATTGTTTAGAATTTGGGAACAAGGTAGTTTTAATATAGTTGTATCAATAACAGCAATTACATATTCATTTAGGTAAGATTTTCATGGCACACAATTTGACATGCATACGTAAGACAAAGCTCAAGATTTTTGTCACTAAATAAGCCATCTGTGATCACACAGAGAAATTAGCTCCCACTTACTTGACTGTCCCAATCTGGTCAGTCTCAGTCTCTTATTAAAAATGTCACTGATTTCTTAAAGAGTATAATGAGTAAATTTTATTGTAAAGAAGTTTACTAAATAAGTCACTTCTCAATCTTAAACATTTAGACAACGCTAATAAATACCACAAAACTAATAGCCAGTAATTTTAGGGACTAATGTTGCACGTAAAAATTAACACCCTTTCCCTGTGCCTTTTTAGCTCTAAGAGGCTAATACAGAGAAGGATAAAATAAGTCTGCATAAAGTCTAGAGAAGAGATTGTAAAACTCCTCTTTGAATCCTGTCTGGAGTCACAACTGAAAAAAAAATATTAAAAACAATATTAACATACTTGCAGAAGTCTAATCCAATCTTCCCTCTTTCCATCATATCCACTAGACGTCCTGGAGTGGCTACTAACAAGTGGCATCCACGTTCTAAGTCTCGAATCTGCTGACCAATGTCAGCACCACCATAAACCACACAAGGGCGAACTCTAGATCGGTATGAAAACTGTAAAGCAGAGAAATTTTTTTATCAACTACAAGGGCCAAGATTTTTACATGATCATAAACCATTTCATCAAAATCAATGAGAAAGCCAGTAATCACTGAAATGCATACTTACTTTCCTGGCTTCCTCATAGATTTGGACTGCTAATTCTCTAGTAGGTGCTAACACCAAGGAGATTGGGTATTGTTTGCGGCGCCCGTACCTTCCATTTTCCTAAGAAATAATGTATAAGTTAAACAACATTCTTTTTTTTTTAAAGATTTATTTATTTATACAAGCACTGGGTACAGTCGGAAGCGCAGGAGGGTGAGAAAATTCACCAGAGCCAAAGCGGGGAACAGAACAGGCAGACTGACGAAATACACTGCTGAGGGGAGCAGCGGGTGCGGCAGGAGAGATCTGCACGCCATGTGGGACCCTCGCCTGTGGCCAGGGATCGAACCAGCGCTGCAGAAGCTGCGCAGCTTCGCAACCCAGCGCTCAACCACTGCGCCACCAGGGAGGCCCAAGTTAAACAACATTCTATTGTAAGTTTGTTACAACATAATTCCCTATAATACTTTATGAAAACTTTTTCATTAAACAGATGAGAATACATGAGAGCTTTTAAAAAGCCACTGACAACAATAATTTCCCATTTTGTAAAGAAACATTTACCTTCATGGCCCTCAGAGCCTCTCCTGGACCATCTGAATAAATCTGACTCAAAATGGGCAAGAGAAAAGCTGCAGTTTTTCCAGACCCTGTTAAGAAACAACAAAGTCATTCAACCAGAGAAAACCCTGCTTTTTACTTTTGAATAAATAGTGGTAGTTATTTAACTGCCCTATTACAATTCAATTAGTAACTTTATGCCCAAATAAATTTTCAAAAAAATTGTTAACAGCTAGATAACAAAGGCAAACCAAAAAGTGACTTCTTTGATCCATCTGTAACAAGATTCAACAAACTAAGGCCCTATTTATCTTCGTAAATATAGCGTTATTGGAACAGTCATACCCAATAAATTTGTATTGTTTATGGGTACTTTCACACTACCATAGCAGGGCTGAGTAGATGCAAAAGACACCACATGGCCCATAAAACCAAAACTGTCGAACTTGTTCCTTTACAGAAAATGTTCCACATTCTGATCAATAAATAACAGTGTAACATTCACTTCTTTGCATCTGTCTGTAAAATGCAGGAATATTGACTTAAAAGTGTTACCAATGTTAATTTGTAACACATTCTCGCAGGTATTATACATACCGATAACGTATAAAGGATGGCATTCTCATTCTTTCAGTGAGAGGAAAGATATCAAATTATTCAAGTACAGTATTCTGGGTCAAACTGAGAGATAAAATAGTTTGTCCTTAATTTCTGAGGTTGTCACTACCCTCCAGTTGCAAAACATGGGAAGTGCTTCTTTACTCCTGCAGCAGGCACCTTTCCCTTAGCTACATTCCTACAGATCACAGGCTGTTCTTTATCTTACCCTTCTTATTCCAAATACAATGCTATAGCACTAATATTTTCATTTTCACCACTGCAATCAAAATAACAAATCCCTGTTGCAGCCATATCAGGCTGACAACTTCCTATAGGCTTCCCCAAGATGCCCTAATGAAAACACTAGAGATAAAATGCAAAGGTGTAAGCAAAAGAGACACCATCCAACAACTCCTTACCTGTATTCAAAGCACACCAGTTCAACTAAATATAAGATTCAAGCTTCCCTGTGAAATTGAAGCTACTCCAAGCATATTTTGATTTCTGGTGCTAATGTTATGAAAACAGCCCAGTTAAAGGTACTTTTGGTAACTTTTCACTTTCAAGTGAACTTACCTGTTTGGGCACAAGCCATCAAGTCTCTCTTCTCTTTGATAATAGGAATAGCATGCTTCTGCACTGGAGTCGGGCGAGTGTAACGAGTAAGCTCAATGTTTCCCATAATAATTTCTCCCATCTCAACATCGCTGAACTGTTAAGAAATTCAATGGGGTAAATAGCCAGAAATAATGTAATTCTTTTTTTGTTTTATACTCATACAATACATTGGAGAAGTTGTGGATTCTTCCTGTTTGATCCACTTTCTATTTGGAATTATTAGGAACAATGGCATTGAACTCAATCTTTCCCCTCTCCACAAATCAATCAGGCAGCTTTTTAGGTAAATTTTAAAAAACCGTTGAAATGAAAGTAGGCCTGGCGTACTTCATCTCATTTTGATGTGCTGTGAAAACATTTATACTTGTCTCAGTCTTAAAAGGTCAAGCAAATAGACTTACACTTTCAATGTGTGGAGGACAGTTGTTGCCTGTTGCCTCAACTGGAATGTCATCATATTTCTCAAAGTTAATCCCAGTGTTGCCTCCAGAAAAGAGTTCCCTGAAAAAAAAAAAAAAAAAAAAGTAAGTTTGTTATACTAGCTCATAAGGCTCTATTTATAATTAACATACAATTCAAAAACTTACTGTTCCAAGCGTTCACTTGGTGGAAGTGGTTTTGACCAATCATCTTCATCTGATTTGTCACACCAGCGACTATTTCCACCACGTTCAAATTTGCCAAAACCACTTCTGTCCCCACGGCTGCCAATGCCATCATAGTCACTGCGTCCACGATCATCAAACCTGAACAGCATAAGCAATTAATCATAATCATAGCATCTAATGATCAGATTCCTACTACTACTTTAGAAATGTACCTGGGAAAGAAGTTGAATTATTCATGAGAGCCAACTTCAAGGATGTCAACAGGCATCCTTGGCTTACTCTTACTTGACAAGCCCTCTAACCAGATCATAAGTATTACTAACTTTATTTTCTAAAATCAGTATTTTTCATTTTCTATAAAATTATAAACCCTACACAGACCTCACACATGCTGAAATTAAGAATCAAGTCTCGTCATGTTTGAAATCAGCATATAACTTGCATCTTTCAAGTTCATATCCAAAAATATTTAGTGGTCGGGAAGAGGAAAAAAAGCAGCACACCAAATATCAACTGTTCCAGTTATAACAGGCTGTCATCTAAAGGACAATTCACCTGTGTGACAGAAGTTTTGGATAAGAGTAGAAAATAATTCTTACCTGAATTAAGATGTTTTTAGTTTTAGGCCTGTTTGCGAAAAATCAGGACACAGAGGACTAACCACAGCTATTAGGCACATGAGGTCAGTTCACCATACTTGTGTAATCAAAAATATAAGGTGTTTAAAAATTGTCATATAGAATATTCACAAAAATCTCAACCAAATTAGGTCATTCACTAAATAAACGTAGTCTTTCTTAAGATAATCTAAAGCTAGGGAAATATGAAAACAATTGATTTCATTATGCCAAAGGACAAGTTCTTATTCTCATCTAATTCCGATGTATCAAGCTCAACTTAATAAAGTCCTCTTACAGGTTAAGAAAATACTATGATTAAATAGACATTAACGCTTAATATCCAAATAAGTTGTCTATTAGAGAAAAAAATGCTTAATGGTCAGACCAGAGTACAAGAAAAGACTTATCAAATTAAAGAACAGGTCCTAAATTGCTATTGTACAGTTACAGAAAGCAAAAAGAAATCAATTTTACCTTCCCCTTGATCCACTTCCACGATCACTGAAGAAACTAGACTTCCCTCTTGAATCACTACGAGATCCAAAACTGCTGTATGCATCCTTATCTTTACTGGAACTCCACCCTGAACTATCTTTATCGTAGAATCCTTCAATAAAAAAGCATAAACCCATTATTAATTAGGAATTAGTAATACTCTAACATGATTCTTATGTTTCTGAATCTTATTTCTTCTATGGGCTGGAGGGACAATGGATATATTCCTCTATCATGACACTAGAAGAAAACCAAGATTTAGAGCTGATGTTTTTAACATTTTGAATTCTCTCCACTACAAACACTGTACACTAAGCTAAGCAATCTGACACATTTTTAACTTCTGAATACCACCTCTTAAAGGCCAATAGCTTTGCCTGTAACATAATTATGATACTGTCATATGACTATCACCATTAAATTTCCATTGATTTTATAGATGTGAATATGCTTACTAAGTAGCACATACTGTTTCTTAGTGATACTGTTCATTTAAAACATCCTCTCTTGGGCCTCCCCTGGTGGTGCAGCAGTTGAGTGCTGGGCTGCGAAGCTGCCTGCAGCCTCTGCAGTGCCGGTTCGATCCCCAGCCACCGGCGAGGGTCCCACATGGCGTGCAGACCTCTCGAGCGGCCAGCCCGCCCCGCCCGCCGCTCCCCTCAGCAGTGTACTTCGGTCCTTCTGCCTGTTCTGCTCCCCACTCTGGCTCTGGTGAATTCTCTCACCCTCCCCCGCTTCTGACTGTACCCAGTGCTTGTATAAATAAATAAATAAATAAATCTTTAAAAAAAAAAAATCCTCTCTTAGGAATCACATTAGTCAGTTCAACACTGTACTTTTGTACTTTAATAATAATCAAGAATACCTAGAAAAAGGGGAAATCTTCATTCCTATACACTTAGTGTAGCTACAAACATTCAATAACAGGAGATGACAAAGGTCGAAGTCAAACAGGTAGGCAGTTTGAAGAGTCAACATTTTCATTACATAGTCACAGATGGTTAACAAGTGATTCTCCTGCCTCTACCATTATCCAGCTAGAGTTGAGTTAGATTTCTAAAGGTATTTTTCAGTTGAGAAACTAAGATACTGCTTCTCCCTTTGATTACTGTCTGCAACAAAGTTGGGGAAGAAACACACTAAATATACAAGGAAGCCAATTCCAGCTAGTATAGTCTAAGGAATAATTAAAACAAACCTTGCAGTAATTA